TCCATGTTATAATTTGCCACCAAATGAGAAAAGGAACTTGAATTCCCAATTCCCATCAACTTAGACGGGGCAAATTATACTCGCAAATTATGCCGTGCAATCATGTGCACCATGCATGGTGCACACTGCACGGTTGCAAAACGGCGTTGTTTTGATTAAAAACGACGTCGTCCGACTTAAAAAAAAAATCATTTTCGATTGCCGTTAACAGCGTTATGCTGTGCATAATTTAAACTATATATCCAGAATCAATGAACTATATATCCACACCGGTTACTGATACTCTGTTTTGACTTATGGCAGTTCGTTGCGTCTGCGTATTCAGAATGAATGAACTATATATTCAGAATTAATGTACTATAAATTCGGAATTAATGAACTATATATTCATAATTAGTGAACTATATATCCAGAATTAATGAACTATATATCTAGAATTCGTGAACTATATATCCACACCGGTTACTGGTACTCTGTTTTGGCTTATGGCAGTTCGCTACGTCTGTGTATTCAGAATGAATGAACTATATATTCAGAATTAGTGAACTATATATCCATAAAATGCATAATACCTGAAGGAGTAGACCTCAGTTGACAATGGTGAAAAAAAAAATTGATTGGTGGAGTTAAACGGTGCCACTAACGGCACCGTTACTCCACCATAGTGAAACGGCGTCGTTCGCAACCGTGTGCACTATGCATGTTGCACACGATTGCACAGCATAACGATTGAGTTATACAATGGACTAGGGTCTACCTTGCATTGTGGACTCTGGTCCAAAAATAATCTTTAGATTTTGTATATGCAATTGGTACATTCTATACACAAACATAACATGATAATTGCAAAAACATAAACGGTTAACTGCATATACATAATATGTTAACTGCAGACACATAATATAGTAACCAACATCTTATGTGTGTGCAGTTAACATATCTTGTACATGCAGTTAATAATTTATGTGTTTGTAGTTATCATGGTATGTGTATGTAATTATCATGTTATATGCTGTCAATTTGTTTACATACAGGTACAAAAATTGTTAATTGTAGATACAAAATGTATTAATTGGTGACACATAACTTTTGAATCAGGATTAAGTTCACAATATAATATAAACCATGCTACATGGTATAACAACAATCGTTATGCCTTGGACCCGTGTCCAGCATGCTTGCTGGACACGGGTAACAGTGCCGTTAGGCACTGTTATCTCTTTTTTTTTTTTTTTTTTTTTTTTTTTTTTTTAATTTCAGATCACTTTGTTATAGAAGTATATGTTCATAATTGAGTTAATACCTAAAATGGTCCTCGACTATAGTGGTTTTTCTCAATTTCGTCCTAAACGACTTTGATGACCTAATATCGTCCCAGACTTTTGTGTTTCGCTCAATTTAGTCCTCCATTTGTTATTCCGTTAAATTGGTGTTAAATAAAGGGACAATTCAGTAATGTCAATATTGATCTCTCTTTACTTTCAACTTGTGAAGTGCGAAATTCCTCTTTCTTGTACGAATTACACCCAGAATTACTCCCAGACCTGCAAATTAAATTTTATATTCGCAGTTTTAGGAGTAATTCTGGGAGTAATTCGTAAAAAAAAAAAGGATTTCGCAGTTCACATGTCTATGAGTAAAGAATGCCAGTATTAAAATTACTGAATTGTCTATTTATTTAACACCAAATGGACAGAATAACAAATGAGGGACTAAATTGAGCAAAAACACAAAAGTCTGGGACTAAATTGAGCGAAACACAAAAGTCTGGGACGATATTAGGTCACCAAAGTCGTTTAGGACGAAATTGAGAAAAACCACTATAATCGAGGACGATTTTGGGTATTAACTCGTTCATAATTTTATTACTATATGTTAATAACTATACATTCATAACTCCATAACTGTACGTTCATAACTCTATAACTGTACATTCATAACTCTATAACTGTACATTCATAACTTCATAACTGTACATTCATAACTCCATAATTGTACATTCATAATTTTCGAAGCTCTATGTTCACAATTTTAGAGCTCTATGTTCATAATTTTATCACTATATGTTTATAATTGTAAGTTCATAATGTTAGAGCTCTTTGTTTATAATTCGATCAATAACTGTACATTCATAATTTCATAACTGTAGATTCATAATCTCATAACTGTAGATTCATAACTCCATAACTGTAGATTCATAACTCTATAACTGTACATTCATAATCTTCGAAGCTCTATATTCACAATTTTAATGCTCCATGGTCATAATTTTATCACTATATATGTTCATAATTGTAAGTTCATAATGTTAGAGCTCTGTGTTCATAATTTCATAATTGCATAACTGTACATTCATAACGGCATAACTGTACATTCATAATAAAAAAAAAAAATAACGCCGTTAACGCCGTTAACGGCAAAACACGCGCGAATTTTTTTTTTTAAACTAAATGACGCGTTTTTTTTAAAAAACGACGTCGTTTTGGGCCCGTGTCCACAATTCAATGTGGACACGGGTCCAGAGCATAATTTGCCGTATAACAATTACTCGGACTGAACCATTATAACAAGCTTGCAAATTGGGCTTTATTGGTTTTAGGCTCCTATCTTTATTCTATTTCATCGACCTACAAATAAACAATAAAACTTGAAAGAATTGGTTTAGGAAAATTATTTTCAGTCTATATTATTCTCGCTCTCCCTTCTTTGTATTTTAACCCTTTTCTTTATTTCAAAAACATCTTCTTCTTTTTTTTCCTACTCATACACTCTTCAACAATCAACCATATTCAATACGTACTCTCTTCTATTTCTACCACAAACTCAATCTCACTATTATTTTCATTCTCTTGTTGTATCTTAAAAATTCCTTAGCTTCTTCCGTTTTCTAATTGTCTTCCCTCTCAAGAGAGACCTTCACCACCAATGTCTCAATACTCTCTTCATTTTCTTTGTCTTGCTTCATTGCACTATCTTTATCAATTGGAATGCTCTCAATATAATCTTGACATTTTCACACTTGAGTCAAGTGACTTGACACTTGCTAGTTTGGTTTCAAGTGCTTAAAGAGATTGCTTTGTCTCAACATACAAATCAAGGAAAGAGTTCATTTCAATCTCTTCTTGTCTCCTTAAAATCCTCTCAAGCCCTTTTTGCTTCTACTTCTTCAATTCTCAATATGGATGGCCATGTCTAGTACATATATATTGCACAGAATCATATTGTATATTTCCACAACATCATAGTTGTCATCATTGAGACCACCTATGATAGGATTCGTGATGCGTCCTTTAATTTATTGTCTTTGACATTTTATTTAGTTGTTATCAAATGCTTAATTAAGCATTTATTTAGAGATCCTTGTTTAAGGTTGTTGGGGAACAAATCTTCTCCTCATCATTGGTTTCAAATCATGCATGCCAAAGATTGCAATAGAATAATCTTTGACTAATATTGTTCCACTAAAAATGGATGGAAGGAGAAATTTGTTTTAGGACGCGATGATCAATTAGTCATCCTTGAACAGTAGCTAGCTAGCTATCAATAATGTATTGAACTTGTTCCTTCCAAGTTCCAATGAAAATATTTGAGGGTTGCACTGGAGATACTATATGATTCTATTGACTATATATATAATATATAAATATAAATGTGCAATCCAACTGCAAAACAACATACTAAACACAAAAATCATGTGAAGAAAAATAGATATATATGTTTACAATATATATATATATATATATATATATATATATATATATATATATATATATATATTATAATGTATATCAGAAAAGGATTTTATTAAAAGTATCAAACAATTAAAATATTTATTATTGACTTATTTTTCAGAAACCATTTTCCAGAAGTCATTTTTCGAGTTTCCAAACGGACCCTTAGTATTTGTTACATATATGCATTCTTATTGCTCAACTAACATAAAGTTTCAATCAACAACTGCCCGCATAAATCTAAATTTAAAATTATTATTTGACTTGGGTTTAAAATTAAGAAAACCAAATACATTTCATTTGCATTCAAAATCATAATCTCAACACTTGAGCCAAATACCACATTCAAACAATTTAACAAAAATCATAACTATAATACATATGTTTAACAACATATTCATTGTGCCAAAAAAAAAAAAAAAAAAAAAAAAAAAAAAAAAAAACAACAATTTAGCCCCATATATACAAGACAACATATAATCATAACCATTAGGTAATCCATCATCATTGAAGCTAAGATTGATAGGGTCACTGGAATTCCCATGCATGGATTTTGGATTTGAGCATGCCACTATATATACCTAATCATGTATATACGGATTTTACTCCCAGTCAGAATGTACTTTCTTATGTCCCACTCATTACCTTAATGAACTAGAAGAAGCTCATGAAGACATTATATATGAACTTGAAGGATTTTTTTTTTAGTTTTTCCACCAACTATTTATAGATGAACATTCCTATTTAATTTTAACACCTATTTGACAAAATTCCTAACAGATGACTAGGGCACTTTTGATAAAATAAAATGAAAGTCAATGTATGCAATTTGGTCAAATTACAAGTCCATGACAAAAAAAAAGTACTAGTTCAATAGTCAAAAGACCATTTATGGTATTAACTTTATTTAATTATAATTTGTAAATGACATCAACCACTAAATATTTAATTAATATACATGTAAATGTCAACGCGCATGACAGCTCAACTGATCATAGATGTGAAAGTTGGAAAGAATATACATGATAATGATACTGCAATCCAGAAATAAATGGTGTTTTGTAGAAATGATACTGGCATGGTGTGCACTCAGATTGTGAGATCTGATTCTTTGCTCATTATCATAATTTGTTGAACTCATCTCCGACCGCGGCTCTATTTATTTCTCTCTTTTATTTATTTATTTATTATTTGCAATCGCTAAATGCTGAAAATTTGTTGACCAAATTTTATTGAGTTTCTTAGCTTGTAAATAGAATCATGCTAAAGTTTAACTGGAAAATGAATATCATTGAAAAATCAGTAAACTCCAGACTCCAGAGAGTGCAAAAGAGAAGCAGTGTTTAAAGTAAAGTAATTAACTGCAAAAGCTCCAAAATTAACCAAACATCATAAAGGAAATAAAATAAAATAAAATTCTTGATCAAGACTAATTGAAATGAATCAATAATCTCCAGAATTTGCTGCCTTGTGTGATCTCAATCTCTGAATTATACGCTTATGGTACTACTTTCTCAGGAATGCTAGCTTTAGTTCATCACTAACCAACAGAACGTAACTGCTATCTACCAACTGTCCGTGCTGCTGATTGGATTGTTAACCTTGCACACTCTGCTGCTAATTTCATAGATCCACATGGTAGTATGACGTCGATCAAAATGGCATGAAATTAAAAAAAAAAAAAAAAAAAAAAAAAAAAAAAAATACATTACATTAATAAATAAGTATAAATGACCAACAGGAGAAAATTTTCAATGCACTAATTTAATTAAACAGTCACAAATGAATTATCTCACCGAGGAATGGTACTAATGTCCCCAAGTTGCACAAGGGTGTCTTTGATTGACTGCAACTCCTTGATGGCATTGCCAATGTTCATTCTGTCCCTGGGTAACTCCATAGAACAAGCAATTCCAATCTTAAAAATTGACACAAGACATTCTAATATCCGGTCCCCAAGTACAAAAGTTTTAGGTGTTGCATTAGCTTCTTCGTGGAATAGCTTTGGATCCACAATCTCAATGACTTGCTCAGGTATGGCCATTTTAATATAGTTATGAAGAGTTAACCCATTATTGAAGATATCACTAGTAGGACTTTTACCGGTGAATATTTCTAACAAAAGGATTCCATAACTATACATATCGCCACATGTTGACAGATCACTTCCCATCCCATACTCTGTTGTAAAACATTCAAATTCAAGAGTTAGTATTAGTAGTATAATTAAGTTGAAATAATTCAGAAAATTAATTAAAGAGAATATATAGCTTAATTAATTACCTGGAGCTGCATATCCAACCGTCCCTTTAATTCCGATAGATGAAGATGCAGGTGTATCTTTTATGGGAAGAAATTTTGCTAGTCCAAAATCACCAACATGAGCAACCAAGTCCTCATCCAACAAGATATTGCTTGGCTTCAAATCACAATGTACTAAAAGATTCTCCAAATGATTATGAAGGTAATCAAGTGCCATTGCTACATCAATTGCGATATTCACCCTTTGTAACAAGTTCAAATTCTCGGAATCGTGCAACCAATTGTCGAGACTACCATTGCTCATGTAGTCGTAGACTATGGCCTTGAAGTCATTCCCTTCATGGTCGATGCTACAACAAGATGTCAAAACTCTTACCAAGTTTCGATGTCTAATTCGTCTCAATGCTTCACATTCAGTAAGAAAGCTCTTGGATGCTCCTCTTACATGAACTTTGATCACCTTAATTGCAATAAATGTTAAACCATCCTCAAGAATGCCTTTGTAAACTGTGCTGAAGTTTCCTGAACCAATTATATTGGATTCAGAGAATCCATTAGTTGCCTTTTGGAGAGTCCAGTAAGACATCCTAGGGGAGATTTCTATTGTTGATTCCAACAATGAAGACTGCTTCTTCTTCCACTTGTAAACAAACACAAAGAGAGCCACCAATATCAAAATCAGAGTCCCACTCGAAATGAATATTGCCAATTTTTTGTTGCGTGATAGACGATCTTGTCTTTCCCCTTCTCTGATGCACTTTGGCAATCCAAACTGAGGAATGCCTCCACAGAGCTGCTTGTTAGCACTAAGCTCAACACCACTCTGGTTTTTGAAGATTCCTTCAATCGGTATCTCACCGTAAAAATCATTGGAAGATAAATTTAGGTGGTTTAAGAATTGAAGTTTACCAAGGAATTTCGGGATTTCACCCGTGAGGTTATTACAAGACAGATCTAAAGTTTGAAGGCTTTTTAAAGAGCTAAAAGAAGGGGGGATAACTCCATGGAAAAAATTGTTCCTGATGTTGAGATCAAACAAGCCACTCAATGTAGCAAGGGTACTGGGAAGTTCACCTGATAACATGTTATTGGAGAGGTTCAGTGAGACCAACATTTTCAACTCAGCAATTTCTACAGGAAGTGGACCTGTGAAGTGATTGTAAGACAGATCTAAATATACCAGTGATGAACTAGGATTGAAAAAGCTTTTCGGGAGGTAGCCATTGAGATTGTTTTTGGCTAGCTAGATTTACATCTAACAAATTCTTGGATTTTTCAAGACATGCTGGAAGAGGACCTTGTAGATTATTGGAGTGTAGGTAGAATGTACTTAGCACGGACAAATTTCCTAAAGAAGATGGAAGCACTCCAGACAATTTGTTTTCTGAAAGGTCTAAATAAGTAAGCAAATGAAGATTTCCCAATGAACTCGGAATAGTACCACTTTGCTGGTTTCCATTGATGGCTAAACCTTCCATGTTAACCAGAAACTGAATTTCATTTGGGATATCTCCATGAATGACATTCCCACCTAATGAAAGCCCCCTAAGCCTCGTAAAATTGCCTATATATCTTGGCAAAATGCCTCCAAAGTTGCAGCCAAAGAGAATTAAGTCTCGTAATGTAGAACTACTATTGAGAAGAGACAACATGAAATCCAAGTCAGTGGATTTTCCATTACCAAGAGGATTCCTACTAAGCCCAAAATAGTCTAAATGTCTATGATTGCTAAATGACAGAACTCCTCCGGTAAAACCATTCTCAATAATACCAAACATCTGCAAACTTGTAGCATTTGATATTGAGATGGGAAGTGGCCCAATTAAAAAATTTGCATTAATACTAAGACGCTGTAGAATTGGAAGAGCAGAGCCTACAGTTGGTGGAAGATAGCCTTGAAGTCGATTAAATGATAGTTCAAGTACTTCCAATGATGACAAATTGAAAATGGATGTGGGAATGGTGCCAGACAAATTGTTATTACTAAGTTGAAGTAAAAAAAGTTGATGTAGTTGCCCAAGAGAAGTAGGGATCTTTCCTTCAAACTTGTTACTAATAAAAGAGATTTCAAGGAGTGATGTAAAATTCCCTATGTAAGCAGGTATTTCACCAACCAAATTGTTTTGGAAAACACCAAGGTATTTAAGCTTGAACAAAGATTGGAACTCCAAAGGAAATCTTCCAGTTAGATTATTGGTACCCAAAGAGAGATCAATCAAATTAAAACAATTTGATATGTTTTTTGGCATTTCACCTGAAAATGAATTACCCCTAAGATTAAGCACTTGTAATCTTGACAGGCGACCAATCTCCTCCGGAATTATGCCTTGAAAGCTATTGTTGTAGAGCATTAATTCCCTGAGAAAACTCAAGTTACCAATGGAGGGTGACAAAGAGCCTCCAAGATTGCTTGATTGCAAATCAAGTTTGGTGACTCTCTGGTGCTTGCGACCACAAGTGACTCCATACCATTCACAGAAATGAGTGGACTCATTCCAGGAGGTAGTAAACCGAAGAGGATCTGTTACTATGCTTGCCTTCAGTGAAAGCAAAGCTTGATGGTCTGTATAATTTCCAGGTTTGGGGAAGGAGGTGCAGGAAGGTAGGAAAGTGGAGAAAATCAAAACAATAAGTACTGCGGAGACCATTTTGTACTTAATAAGAAAGAGCTGAAGATATAATTAATGTACATGTGATACTTCGCTGTGGGTTGTTTATATAGGAGTTTCAAGGTTGTTTATAGAAATTAGAAACAGAGGTTTTTGGAAAATTAGCTTAGTCTGCGAAGTTAATCTCACGCTGAGCTTGGTCTTCCATATTTTATATGCAATTGTTTTCAAAAATTGTATTATGCAGAAATTTGTACAATAATTTTGTAAACATTCTACAACTACTGTCAAGACAAGATCCAAATTTCCATGTGGAGTTTGGTCCCCCAAAATTTTCACAGCCATTTTGCACATATTCATTTTGAAGTTTATATTTTTGAAATTAGTATGAATGAATCTAATACTTGATTTAATTCTTTCCAAAATTCATAGGACCAAAAAGTGAAATTAATTCTTTCCGGCAACTAATAATAAGCAACACTTGAAATCACATGCATGATTATCGGTGTGTTTCGCACATAATTGTGAAAATTTCCAGCAAGTAATAGTAAGCAACAACAACGACGACCATCATCATCAAGCCTAGTCTGCGAAGTTAATCTCACTCTGAGCTTGGTCTTCCATATTTTATATGCAATTGTTTTCAAAAATTGTATTATGCAGAATTTTGTACAATAATTTTGCAATTGTATACATTCTACCCGTTACTGTCAAGACCCAAAATTTCACCCGGAGTTTGGTCCCCAAAATTGAAATCATATTCTATGAATCATGGTCTATACAACTCTATCACCCAATAGGATAACTCAAGTGGCAAATGAGCTCTCTTTGTGGGGAAAAATTTTGGGATAACTTGGGTTCGATTCCCACAAGTGACGATTCGCTTTGGCCCAGCTCCTGTGCCTCTCGGAGTGAACCGGGTGGACTTGGACTGTTACACGAACAGAGAAAGACCCGAACCATATTGTGGATTACACCCAAAAAAATGGTCTATACAACTCTATGGATCATAAATAAAAATTATATATATTTTTAATATACTAAAAAGTATATTATTTGAATACTGAAAGTACATTATTTTGTATACTAACAAATACTATAAATTCAGTATACAAATAATGTATTTTTAGTAGAATATGTTAGTAATATAATCCTACGAAAATGATTATTTTCACCAAAAATTAACAAGCACATGGAAATTTAAAGAGAAAAAGTTTAGAGTTATTACGAGTCGAGTAAAACATTCTTTCCTTAAAATCATATTTGTTACCTCCCAAATGTGCTAGTAGTATTGTAGCTTAGGTTTCCCAGAATTAAAAAAAAATACTATAGTTTAATGTTTGAACATTCAAACAATTAAACCCAGCGAACTAGAACTAGGAATAAACACAAAAATTTGAGGAGATTGAGCAAAATTTCGGGTGAGAAAACATGGATTTTTTTAGTGTACAAAAGCATATGCTCAACCTCGGTATATATAAGAGAATGAAGGATAAATAACATTTATCATGTCATTAAAACTGATAATAAAATCAGTCTATATAACCCTCATAACAGACAATCATGACTCCGGAAATTAATTATAAAAATTTAAAAATTGAAAATAATTCCTTAACATCAGAATTAATACCTAGGGTTTGAAAGGTAAGCCTAAGTTACTACGGGACATACGCGACATTCGTGCCAACACGATTTGCACCCCTCGTGTATATCGTGCCAGATAGACGAGAGAAAACAAACTAGTCAAAGGAACAAAGGAATAAAGTAGAACCAAAAGAAAACAAAATAAATGGTAGAAAACCTGTCAAATCTGTAGAGTCTCTGAAGCCTTCTCTGAAAAATGATCGGAGGTGATATGAGATCTAACACTTATTCCTAAAACTGCCAGAGGATGGAGTCTACTAATGGTACCGTCGGCTCAATCCTCCATCAGAGCGTCAGCCGGCAAGTCGTCGGGCCTTTACTTCGTGGAGCAGACGAAAATGGGAGAGAAAGCAGTTGAATTTTCAATTTTCGGGAGGGGATTCCCTAGTAGTTAATTTTTAAATTATTAAATTCTTTGCTTATTCAACATGATAAATTGAATATTTTTAATAAAAAAATTAGAAAAATTTACATTGACGAATAGTAAGAATACTCATTTATATAAATTGAATTTAATATGCAATGTAATGATAATTTTTGTAAATAAAGTAATAGTTTTAATTTCATTATTTACAAATAGAAATTACAACTTAGGCTGTGTTTGGAAACTAGGAAAACAACTTCTGGAAAATGAGTCATTTTTTAGAAAATATTTTCTTTTTTCGGTGTTTTGGCTGCTTTCCAGAAAATAGTTTTGATGTGTTAGGTTCATTTTCTGAAAAAAATTGCTGTTGTTGTTGTTGTTAATAGAGTCAGTAGCATTTCCGGAGTAGAAGAAACTTGAAAAACCTATAAATTGGACTAATTCCATGAAATTAGTTAGTTTAGGGACTCAATTGCATGTTTTTGAGTTCAATGACCTTATTGCATTTTGGTGTGTAGTTCAATGGCCTATTTGACATTTATTCTTTACATTTGATCTTAAACCGACCTAACGGACAAAGATCCATGAGTAGGGATGTGCAAACTTCGGATAATTTTTGGTTAACCGACAGAATCGACAAAGTTCAGTTAACCGTTTTCGAACCGAACTTTTTCGGTTCAGTTAATGGTTAAAGGAATTTTAAAACTTCGGTTAATGGTTAATTCGGTTCGAAAGGTCGGTTAACCGAATTAACCGAAACGTTAACCGAAATTTTTAATATATATATATATATATATATATATATATATACTAATTTGAAGTTATGGATGTTTGGAGTTTATAATTAATGTTTTTGTATATTTTGTTATGAATTTATTATGATATGTATTTTATTTTAATTGGATTTATTATTTTAGGTGTTATTTTTAGAATTTAAAATTTTAGCTTTAAAAAGTTCGGTTAATCGGTTAACCGACCGATTAATCAAAAAAAAAAAAAAATCGGTTCGGTGAATTCGGTAGAGCAAATTATATCGTGCACCAAAGCATTGTGCACCCTGCCCAAAACGACGTCGTTTTCCATTTCTGCCATTAACTTCTAAAAAAGATCACTGTTTCGGATGTATAGATTGTATAGTAGAATACACATAAACTCCTAACATAATACACATAATCTAACATAAACATAATACACATAAACTCTTAACATAATACACATAAACTCTTAACAGAATACACATAAACTCTTAATAGAATACACATAAACACAAATATTAAAAAAATAATAATAAAAAAAACTGTAACAAAATTGGACGCACAAAAATTCCCCACACAACTTATAAAAATATAATGTCATTTCGCATTTTGTGCCTGGTGCACGATATAGCGATTGATAAACTAGGGAGCCAACCACTGAACTTGCCGCACAATAGACTCCACTGGCGCAAAATCAACTCCTTCAAAACAGTCCAATTGTTCAAAGTCGGTTGCGAGATCACGAAATGTTGAAGCCATGTTTCTTTCAAATATTTAAAAACTCTGAGATTGTTAGAAGAAAAATAAAGAAACTGTTAAGTTTTGGCCTATTCGCTCGTTGGTTCTCGCGTGATGCTTGTACGGTTATACACCTGGAATTGCGTATGTATATGTATGTGTGTTTGTAGGTGCATAGAGGGGGAAAAGGAAGGAGAAGAATAACACCAAGCTATAGCATAACAATCATGTAAGTGTGTCCCTTTCATTCATCTTCACTCACTTTATATAGTGGTCATATACAACCTTTCAAGTACACAACATCAATACATGATTAAAGGCTAAGCAAGTGAAAGGTCTAAATAGTTTAATGGCCATAAATATAAATATTTACAACACTCCCCCTTGGTCATTAAATAATTATACTCATGCCTCGTTAAAAACCTCGCTAGAAAAACCATGTGGGAAAAGCCTAGTCGAGGAAAAGAGTACATGTAGTATCAATCATGTGTTGCATAGGTTGCCTCGTTAAAAACCTTAGCCTAAGAAAACCCAGTGGGAAAAAAACTTAGCCAAGGGAAAAATAGTACAATCATAAGCCTTCCGGGCATCATCTTCATGATTTAAAAGTCTCCTAGACCGAGTTTATCGCTCCCCCTGAAGACAACTGTCTTCCAAGCCTCAGCATCCCAATTTTATAAACATACTTCTCAAAAGTGGATGTAGGCAGGGACTTAGTGAACAGATCTGCCAGATTTTCACTAGAGCGAACCTTTTCAATGAGTATTTCACCACTCTTCTAGAGTTCATGTGGGTAAAAGAATTTAGGAGCGATATTTTTAGTAAGGCCTCCTTTAATGTACCCATTACTCATTTGTGCAACACATGCTGCATTGTCCTCATATAGGACTGTCGGGGAATCAACATTGCTCATTGTTCCGCATGAGCGATGGATATGTTGTATCAGTGATCTCAACCATACGCATTCGCGTGCGGTTTCATATAAAGCAATTATCTCCGAGTGATTAGATGAAGTAGCAACTAAGGTCTGTTTAATGGACCTCTAAGATATAGCTGTACCTCCACAAAGGAAAACATAACCAGTTTGTGATTTAGCAATATGAGGGTCAGACATATAACCAGCGTCTGAATACCCTGTCAAAGTAATGTCCTGGTTGTTTTCAAAATAAAGACCAATGTCTTTTGTCCCTTGGAGATATCTAAAGATATGCTTTATTCCACTCCAATGTCTTCTGGTTGGAGAGGCACTAAATCTAGCAAGTAAATTCACTGAAAATGCAATACCAGGCCTTGTGCAATTAGCTAGGTAAAGCAAGGCTCCAATAGCACTTAGGTAATGAACTTCAGGTCCTAGAACCTCCTCATTATCCTCCTTAGGTATAAATGTGTCCTTTTCCGCTTCAAGGGATCGGACCACCATTGGAGTGCTAAGGGGATGAGATTTATCCATATAGAATTTCTCCAATATAATTTATTAATGTAGTTGACTTGGTGAATGAAAATTCCATTTGGAAGATGCTCGATCTGCAGGCCGAGGC